GGCAACCCAATTAGAGGCAGTTTCAGAAACTTTAACTTGGATGGAATGTTCTTTCCCGTAATCAGTTGCTCTTCTAAGCTGAGGTGAGTAATCATCACGGAAAATGCAAGAAAATATGTAAAAAACTGTTGAATGCATTTTAGTTGTCGCTTTTTGCTCGGCGGCGATCACGGCAAGCTGAAGTTCTGTCCTCCAGAAGAGTTCTCTCCTTTAGTGGAAAGCCTGCTTCCGCAACAGATTCTCAACCTCGATTCTTGCTTCTACTTCGGAAACATGAACAAGAACGTGATCGCAGGCCCGCTTTTAATAGAAGATGATACCGCTTTTGTGCCCAATCCTGTGGATACTTCCATGGTTGGTACAAGTGTGGTAATTTTTGAATTAGACCGCAATATTTTACTTATTCAACAGGTTGGTTTGCCCAGTTATATTGAATCAATCAAGGACAAGTTAGCGGAAAATATACATGAAATGTGGGCCATGAATAAAATCGAGGCCGGCTGGGCTTGGGGCGAATACAGGGACGATTTACGACATGTTCATCCCTGTTTGGTGCCATTTGATAAGCTGCCAACCGCCGAAAAACGATACGATTCGCAACTGGCTGTTCAGACCTTAAAGTACGTGACAAATTGCCATGTAGTCGTTTCTTAATTAATTTATTTATCAGGACCGTAATTGCATTGGGCTATTACATAACAATGGACAAGCCGCCGTCCAGAATTAAGACTGTCCGGTTGCCAAATGAACCATTTATGCAGGGGAATGGTTATAAACCCGCTCCTTTAGATCTAAGCGCCATAACTCTTACTGCAAAATTGGAGGAATTGGTTGATCAATTGGCCGAAAATACGCACAATCTTTGGGCGAAAGAACGTATTCAGCAAGCCTGGACCTATGGATTAAATGAGGTGAGTCTGGACCTGGATTTTTTCAAGACGCAACTTTTGTATCATGTATAGAAGAAAATTAGATTAGAAAGCTATTAAAAAGGAGCAAAAAACAAGGAACAAACTAAGCCAGAGTATCAAAGAATATTTGAAGAACAAAAGATATTTTCTAGTTTGAATGCTATGCGATAAAGTTCTTACTGAAAATGCCTCCAAGTCAAAGAAAAAAACGTTGCTCGGGAACGAACATCAAATGAAGAGTTAGAGACTCATCGGCAGATCGAAGATAGTTTTCTCCTCTAGTTGATATATAAGTTTGGAGCAAGATGGACATTTTTTTGAACGGGCCAGTTCTCATTCACAATTAGGCATTTTCAATGCAAAAAATGTGCATTGTTGTAACTTTAGAAACTTTAAATATCATCTCACCTATTGAGCGTTATTTCAGGATCCTGATATGTTGCGTAGCCCCCATTTGGTGCCATACAACAAAGTTGACGATGCAATTAAAAAAGCCAATCGAGACACAGCTTCTGAGACCGTTAGGACTCTGCTAGTGTATGGATATGTGATTGATCCGCCCACTGGTGAACAACAAGAAACTCTTTTGGCCGAAGCTAGCAGACTCAGACAGCAAGCGTTTCGAACTTACCGGTAAGCTGCAGTAGTTGCTGAAACTGCRAAAATTGAAAAGTCTTGAGACATCAGWSTGAACAGTTTTTTCGACTSTAAAAARATTTCTGAGGTGTGTGATATTTAAATTTGTCTATCGGCCAGTGCTCAAGAAATAATGGTTTTTTTCGGTAAGAACGGTGAACACAGTGGGATTTCGCAGGAATCMACCTCATCCCATACTTCCCAGCAAGCAAAGYTTTTTGTATTGCAAACAGACCCAGATTTGTCAAATTTTGCAAGCAGTTCTAGGATCTTAGGAGAATCTTTACAAAAAACAGATTTTCTTTACAGTTAAATTCTTGCTTAGTCCAGAGAAAACCCCAATTTTAACAATCATTTTCTATTTAAGAGCTGAAAAGAACTATGCAGTTGGTTCAGGAAAATGGTATTTTGAATTCGAAATATTGACTGCTGGCCCGATGCGTGTTGGATGGGCGAAGGCAGATTGCGCTCCAGGTTCAATGCTGGGTTCCGATGAAAACACCTGGGCTTTCGACGGTTACAACGTAAGTACCAGTTTTCCTTGTTTTCCATAAACATCATAAAATACTGATTCAGCTGAGAAAATATCATGGGGGTAATTGCGAGTCGCTTGGATTACAACGCTGGCAAGTTGGCGATGTAATCGGTTGCATTTTGGACCTTACAGACTCGCTCATAAGTAAGCTTTACTGCGTCTCATCCCATCATTGAGTCTGTTCTAGTGTTCCTTAATCTCATGTCGTATGTTCGTTTGGTCTAATTGCCATTTAATGGGCTGTTTTGAGTCAATCAACTTGCTAAACTTTATATTTTTATATTTGCACAGGAGGAAAAAGTGTATAGTAATTCGGCTGAATCGTTTGGAAAGCAGTGGCAATTGGGAGATGTAGTTGGAGTTTTTCTCGATCTGATTGATCACACTATAAGTAAGGGCAGCGCCACATGCTTTCATGCCGCTTTTGCCTCTGCTTATTCGAATCCTACCAAAATCTAGCCGCTTTAGTACTATTGGCTTCAATGTTTGCATTACGTTTGCTTAGCTTTTTGGATCTTGAGCGTGCTCCAATATACCCAAAAAAGCAACTGCGCTTAATTTTTATGTAATAATATATTCCTTAAGTAAAGTCGAGCCTCTCAGTTTAACCTTGTATGAATTACGATCTGGAAAAGTTCATTTAAGACCCTAACTCCTGCACTATAGAAGCAAAAAGGCAATTATTTAAAAAGAAATCTTTTTGTCGATGTTATTGAAAAAATATGCTCAACATATTTGTTTCCAAGTATCTCGTTTTTCTCGACTAAACAATTTCCGATACAGTTTTTTCTGTTTCTGGACTTTCTTTCGAATCTCGCTTCGCAACAAAAAACAGACGCAAACTTCGAAAGGGTCACGTTTTATTATTTTTATTATTTAGCTGATTATATTTATTGGAGCCTTTTAGTGAAAAAAATTGCATGCATTTCGGTATTTGTGAAAATTTGAGTTCATTTCACTTAATTTCAGTTTAGTTAACTCAGTGCGAAATTATTTTTTTAATGCTGCCCTTTTATTGAAATTTACATGCTGGCAACATATTTATCCAAAATCGTGATTGCGGATCCATTTTTACAATTTTTAATCAGGAAATAATCCTAAGATTCACATAAAAACGAAAATAAATTAAAAAGGAAACAAATAATAAAAATAAAGTTTGTCTTTATATCAAGAAATAAACTAACTTTCTATTGAGTTATTGGCACAGAGTGCTTTAAATAGTGGGAATGCGTTACATAGTAATTGAGTCAATCAAAAATGCGTAGAAACTGCAAAATTTGACGCTTAATTTCAGTAGTTTGTGCCGTATTAATGTGTGAATTACTGATGTTCACTGATTAAAACAACATTTCGTTTCTCTTCATTTATTATTAAGGGCGCATTTATTCTCGGGATCCCATAACTGTCAGGGCACCAACAACTGTACTTTTGACCCTACTGTATATTTGCATAAAATTTACGGTACTTTTTTTTAATGCAAAAATGGTTTTTGCCATTGGAAGCATTTGATCTTCTACTTCCTTTCCTCCATCACCCCTTATTCTCGGCTTTGCTTTTCGAATATTTCTGACTAAGTCAAACAATTAACCGCAGTAATTCCTTTCTTCCTTAACGTGTGCTACCGTTTCCAGAAAATAATCAATGTCTTCAGAAGCTTATCAAATTATGTTCTATGTATTTTTTTGCGGTTTGATTGATTTTTAACACACATCGGCATGCACTAACCGCTTTTGCAAAAAATGAGGGGCCAGATTTATTTGCTATTTTAAAGGTTTTTCCCTTAACGGCGAATTGTTGATGGACGCCCTCGGTGGCGAGACCACATTTGCGGATGTACAGGGCGATAACTTTGTGCCGGCATTCACTCTGGGAGTGGGTCAAAAGGCGCGGCTCTGCTTTGGGCAAGATGTAAACCAGTTGAAATATTTCACCACCTGCGGATTGCAGGAAGGATATGAACCATTTTGCGTGTAAGTATTTATTGACTATAGTGGCGAAATACAAAAAAATGCAGACATTTACTTAAGCTTCTACACACAAGAAGCAGATCTGAGCAGATTTTTAATGGCTTCCCTGGTAGCTCTTGAAACCATCTGCTTATTTGAGGAGAATTAGGAAGAATCCCATAAGTGTGTTCTTTGCAACAGCAGACTTTTTTCTGTCCCAATCTGCAGCTTCTCTAGTCTTGCAACTGCATGCAATCCTGTAGACTCCAGATGCTGATCTAAGCCGCTATTTCATAGTTTTTGTCGCTTTGAAGGCGATTCTGTGGTTGTTCCTTTAGCATTCTTCCAACTCTAAGAAAATAGAAATGCCGATTCTCAACAGTTTTTGTCTGTGATGGATCGTTATGGCGTTGGTGATTGTTAGATGTGAGTTCCATCCACATCTTCAAAACCAAACGCTCCTTCTAAAAGGTCCAAGTCCTTCTAGCTCGCTTATTTTTGGATGACGCCTTGCTCCTGCTGTCGATGCTGGTTCAATGCAAGTTTATTAATATCCAATTTAAATAGTACTATTTTGGTCGACTATCTATTTTGGAGTGTAAAAATATTCTGAAATTGGACAAAATCTGGACATTACATGGATTATTCCTTCTTATCCAGCAACATGAACCGAGCAGTAACATACTGGTATACAAAAGACCAGCCGATTTTCGAAAACACCGACGATATGCCTGATACGAAAATCGACGTAATCAGAATCCTAGCCGGATCAGATAGTCCCCCGTGTCTGAAAATCAGCCATAACACCTTTGAAACGATGGAAAAAGCGAACTGGGAGTTTCTACGACTTAGTCTTCCAGTGATTTGCCATCAGGAGTTTATAACGTAAGTCCACGTTTGGGAAATTTATCGAGCAGTTGTAAACCTCAGCTGCTGCAGGGAGGAGGAGAAAATGCGCCGCTGGAATGAAATCAAAATCAGGCAACATAGGCTGAAAGTGGAAGCCGATCAATCAGTGACCGCAAATCCCGCACACATTGAAAATATCATGAGAAGTGGATTTTCCATGACTGATATCAAAGGTATTAACAACTTAATCCTTTAAACTAATGCGTTTTTTGCGTTTATAGGCCGTCGTTCGGTAGAATTTCTTCTTGACGTTTCGCAAGCACGAGTGGCTTGCATCTTCAGAAGTGGTTTGCTTGAACGCTTACACTGTTCTAATGTGTGTCACATCAT